GGTTTAATGTGCAAAAATTATGCAACCAAACTAGGATTCCACCGGGTGCAGAGTTAATTGGCTGAGTCATGCAGGGTAAACACTGTCGTTAGCTCATTCTCTGCATGAAAAATTAAATATACTCCATAACGTCTAGTTTTTGAAGTGTGTGATTTTATTTAATCTTCACAATAACTTGGTGAAGATGGTATTACTATTAGGTTGGTGCAAAAGTATTTTCAGCTTTTGCCATGACTTTTCTTGGCAAAAGCTGCAAATACTTTTGCACCAACCTAATAACTTAATTTTACAGTTAGAAAAAAAAATGTTAGGGAGAGCTTCTAAGCAGTAAATGACAGAAAGGAGATATGAACTAAAATTTCTTAATTATTTATTCAGATGATAAAACTAATGTGATTTTGCTCTATCACAAATATTCTTGTCATTTTACCCCAGGGTCAAAATTCTAGATACATGTTTTTAAATGTATTTTAATGACAAAATACATATTTTAATGACAAAATAACATATTCATGTTATTAAGTATGTGGGAAATTTAAAAAACTATGAAAAGTTTTAAATCACCCATAATATTACTGCTGAAAAATAACAACTCCTACTATTTTGATGCATTTCTTTATAAACCTTTTTCTGTGTATTTATATATTTCTTTTGACATTATGGTTTTGCATCCCATTCCATTTTATCATATTTTGAGTAAAGTGAGACAGCATTCTAACCTTATCACATTTACAATTTTACTGTATTGTCTTTCAGTAACCTACTTTTGCTGAAAATTTAAATATAAATCAAAGTTAGTCTACCCATCTTGAATTCACTTCTTTTTCGGGATGAAAGCTATGCTTCTCCAAATGCAGTATGAGGACAGTAGTGCCAGCATCATTTGGGAGCTTGTTATAACTGCAAATTCTCTACTGAGTCAAAGTCTTTGGGGTGAAGTCCAGGAATTTCTGTTTTAACAAGCTCTCTAGGTATTTCATACATGCAAAACTTTGGACTGAAGTATTCGGTTTTCCGTGAGTGTTGATGAGGCAAAGCAGCTTAGGCCTATTGTAGGTTAAAGGCAAGCACAATAATTGTTACACTTTGAAGAAAAAGAGATCTTCTTTTTATTATTTACTTTCATTTCTTAAGAGATGGGGTCTTGCTGTGTTTCCCAGGCTGGTCTCAAACTCCAGCCTCAAGTGATCTTCCCACCCCAGCCTTCCAAAGCAGTGAGATTACAGGCATGAGCCATTGAGCCCACTAAAGAGCTTCTTGATTACCAAAATTTTCCACACCACATGCCTTCAACATGTACTATTAATTACTTGGGTTAAGTCTATAGCCCTTATTAAAATGGCCATATTCTTTCTTAGAAATGCAATAGTTACCTATGCTTATGATATTTCCATCATGTTTAATGCATCTGTTTATTCAGATTAGCCAACTGATAATCCTTAATCAAAATCAGAATAGGATGAAGAACAGGTAAACTCTAAATTCAGTTATAATACCATTTCTTAAATATATCTACCACATTAGAATGTATAGAAGAGAAAAGAAAACACATTTTACAGCCCCTTGTCCCTATGATGACTCACAGTCCTATTAGAAAATAAAATTTGTATATGTAATTAACAATGGTCAATCAAAGCCTTAATCAGTGATAACCAGGTATTACAGTACGTAAGATAAGCAATGAGTGCCCTGGGTTACATAGTAAAACAGACATACTAAGTACGGAGAGTCTCCTTATGAAGGAGGAATTTGAGTGGGACCAAAATAACAATTGTTATAACAAAAACGCCAAAAATGTCACCTGTTAAGTGTTTGCCATGGGTCAAGCACTGTGTTGAGCAACTGACATGGATTAAGTTCTCCGATCTTCGTAACACCACTAGAACATACCTGTTATACTTCCCCATATAAGGCTAAATGAGGTTAGGTAACATCACCAGTATTACATAGTAGTGTTTTGTGGAGTTGAAGTTTGAACTGAAGTCTGCAGTTTTGTTTGACTGCAGAGCCACATTTCTTACCACTTCTGCCTTGTTAACGTTTTGTTTGTTTTGTTTTGGTTTGGTTTGGTTTGGTTTTGAGACAGTCTTGCTCTGTAACCCAGGCTGGTGTGTAGTGACATGAACACAGCTCTCTGCAGCCTCGAACTCCTGGGTTCAAGAGATCTTACTCCCTCAGCCTCCCAATAGCTGGGACTATAGGCATGTGCCGCAACACCACGCTAATATTTTTTAAAAATTTCTGTAGAGATGGGGTCTCACAGTGTTGCCCAGGCTGGTCTCAAATTCCTGGCTTCAAACAATCCTCTCAGCTAGGCCTTCCAGTGTTGCGGTTACAGGAGTGAGCCACCGTGCCCAGCCTAATTGTTAACTCTGACTGAGAACTTGTGTAGATTGAGAAGGTTGGTAGTATATTATAGATAAAGGCTGCTCTGGAAAGGATGAGGGTGAGGTAAGCAAGCTCCTATGGTGAATTTGCCTGACCGAAACACAACGTTTACATTGGCAAGTAGCTGAAGCAGAGAAAAAAACTTGTTAGGAAAATAAAAGTTCTTGTACACATAGATGAAGATCTGTGATATAATTTATAGATATTGAATAAACATCACACATTACTTAACATAAAAGGGATGTTTCATAACTAGACTAACATTGGTTAAAAAGCATACTTGGTTGAGACGTGAAGAGATATTTGGGTAGAAAAACTGATTAATAAGGTGACTGTTGAAAACAAGATACCCGATGAAGGACTATGCTAAGGAGTTTTGGGAGAAGAAAAAGAGAATGATTAATTACTAAATATTATAACAGAAAGAAAGGTGAATGGTTTCAGCGACAGATTGGCCAAACGGACCAAGAGGAAAACTAGGATTTGAATCTGACATCCTGGTTTCTCTAGAACTATACATAACAATTTTAATAATCTGGAGAGATGTGTAAAAAATTAGTTCAACATTTTTATTTTCAAAGATTGTGAGTTTAGGTTACTCTTAACTCCTCTTTATTCCTAAACACCTATATCCACTTGGTTTCTATGTCTTGCAGATCTTTAAAAACAAACATTTGAATCAGTCCTATTTATTCTTTGTCATATTGCTTTAGTTTAAGTCCTGGTAAGCTTTCAAATGGCAGCCTATAGTTGAAACAGCCTAAATATTCTTTTTACCTTTTGAATCACTTCCATAAAACATATTGCTTTGCTATACAGAGTTTTCATTCTATATAAGTTAAGGTGCAACCTATATTGACTTATGGCATCTTCCCGCTAAAAGTTTAAAAATGCATCTCCCCTGCTTTTTATTGCACTGTTTTACTTGGTGTGACGTGCAGAATTAGAGCAGCCATGTAGTTTATCATCTGAATGAGACCCTTGGGACATTGAAAGTGGGCGTATTAACAATTACACTGGGACAAACAATGTCTAGGCTTTGCTTAGCTTTCAAGCCCCATCCTCTTCTAAGAGCAGTTTACGAATGAGCAATACCAAAATCATTAGTGAACAAACATTGTTCCAAAGGCCTTCTATCTGTGTTGTTCACAGCTGGATCTTCAATGCCTAATGCACTCCTCAGTACACCGTAGCTCCTCAATAACTGTGTGCAAAAGGAGGAAATGAGGCAGGGAGGCATGGAAGAAGAAATGAATCGATCACAGAGTTTTAGAAAGTTTAATTCTAGTATGCTGTCGTTGAAATGACATCGAGTTGAAGGTCTTACCTCCTTGGAGAAAGCCAAAGGAGGCACAGAGATCTTGGCAGAGGAAGATTAAAAAAGGGAGGTCCCAAATCAGACCATCCATGAAACTGACTTTCTGATCTCAACCAGGCACTAGTGAATTTGGTTGGAGAAACGAGATTTTCCAGAGCCTAATTATTCCTGTGAGAGTAACTACTGAGGTTTGTGCACAGCCAAGCTGGAAATCCAGAGAAGTGGCACCGAGACCCTTCTCAGTGAAAGCCCTCTAATTCTAGGACCATGCAATTATTTTTAATTAGTACATTAGAATTATAAGCTTTACAATGTTTTGTAATTTATTTTGTGCTGTTTTGTAATTTAACACATGACAACCCCTAGGAGTGCGATTCCAGTCCAATTTACCCAAAGATTTCCCTGCTTGTGTCATCAGGTGGACATATTTTTACCAAAGCCATATCTTAGTTGAAGAGAGCTTTCATATTCTTCATGAATTCCTGGGAGGAGCTGTTTAAAAAGTTTTCACAGCAGCATTTTAGATGTTCTAACTACAAAGGAGATATGTAAATGTCCGTTTTGTGCTTCTGAAAATAGGTGCAGTCTCTGTGCAAAAAAGAAAATTTGTCATGAGCACTGGAATAAAAAGGGAAATAATCAATAAGAACATAATTTAATTATATGAATGTCAGCTTTCTGCAGAAACTCGATTTGATGTAATTAAAGTACTTGGAACAAATAAAATGAATCAGAGAAATTTCTTTCCTAGCTTTTTTTTTTTTATTGAGTTAAAGGAAGGTTCAAAATTGCATACTATTTATGGGAAACCTGTAATAACTATGCAAAAAATATATGTGTGTGTGAGTGTATGTGTGTGTGTCCAGAAGAGAGAAGCAGAGAGAGTGAAGGGTTATTTTTTCTGGCCTCTTAGTTGACAACCAACGAAGCAGACAACATTTATGAAAATAAAGTTTTTGATAGTAAGGGGCTAACATCTACAAATAACTATAAATTAAAATTTTTTTTCGATGATCCTGAGCCCCAGGAAAATAAACATGACATTTGTTTAATGACTGTTTTAGTCCTTTTCCCATCATAAATTCATACCAGGAGCTCGCTGCCTTTGTTAGGTCAGGAATGCTTCTAGAGAAGGAAGCAAATCATGAATTTAAATTGAGAGAAAAAGAATGTTGATTCTAGGAAGAAGAACTACTCCTAACTAATGGTTTGCTGGCATTACATGTGCCACTGGGGCGTTTATCTGGGGAGCCATTTGTTCTGTGCTGTGCTTATATAGGATATTTTGTTCTAGCTATCTACGAGCCTTCCTGTGAAGCATACAAACACCTAGGCCAGACGTCCAATTACTACTGGATAGATCCTGATGGCAGTGGACCTCTGGGGCCTCTGAAAGTTTACTGCAACATGACAGGTAACTGTGTCACATTTATGTTTTATGAAGATTGCATTTCTCTATGTTATGAATAAGTAGTTCCACCAATGGTTTATTTCTTTGGTGCTGTGCTTTTATCACATCTAATCAGTAAGATATTGCTGGATTTGTTAGATAAGATGGCAAAATGCGTTATTAAAGCAGTAAAACATTTTGACACTATGCTTTTCAAAATGTTTACCTTTGACATGAACAATTAAGAAACATTTTTGTAAAAAAATCAACATGTCGGAGGGAAAACCAGAAAGTAAAGTTAAAAAGTTAAGCCCACAGCAAGGACTGGTAACATAGACTAAGGAACTTCAGTATCACGGCTCCAATATCTTCACTGTGCATGCTGGAGGAAGCTTTTAGATCATACCAGACCTTCCTCTATTCTCAATGGTTATAGAAGAAATCTTTCTAAGTACTGAAATACCATTTTGACAATAGCAAAAATTACCGGAAGCTTTCATGAAATATATTTGGGGTTTTCTTCTTGGGAAGAGAACCTAGTTTTTCTCCGCTTCCATGTTAAATGAGATTGTGGGTTCTTATAAACTTCCACAACAATGTTTAAGATGTACATATCCCTGAGATTAAAAACAGATTTTCCATCAGACACTTGGCAACATCTTACCCTTCAAAAATCCAGAAGAAGGTGTGAGGTATGCATTATTTACTGGCTTCAGAAAAAGACCAGCATTTGATATGAAGTCCTGGGCATATGATGATGAGGGTAATGATAATATGATGCTACTGATGGTCATTACTGAGTGTGACTGTTTATCATCTGCCAAGTACCATAATAAATCCTTTAGACAGACACTTGGGTTTACATCCCGGCTTCATTAATCACATGTGTAATATTTGACACTTTACTAACTTTACTAAATGCAATAAGCCTCAGAATCTTTATCTGTAAAATGAGTCAATAAGGATACTCACTTCATAGCATTATCATATGAATACAATAAGATAACCTGCATGTGGTTCTTAGCATATTGTCTAACACATGGTAAACCTTCAATAAAAGTTATTGGATGAGGGCCAGGCATGGTGGCTTACGCCTGTAATCCTAGCACTTTAGGAGGCTGAGGTGGGTAGATCACAAGGTCAAGAGTTTGAGACCAGCTTGGCCAACATGGTGAAACCCTGTCTCTACTAAAAATACAAAAATTAGCTGGCCTTGGTGGCACGTGCCTATAATCCCAGCTACTTTGGAGGCTGAGGCAGGAGAATTGCCTGAATCTGCAAGGCTGAGGTTGCAGTGAGCCGAGATGCTACCACTGCACTCCAGCTTGGGCAACAGAGCAAGACTCTGTCTTGGGGAAAAAAAATAAAAAAGTAATTGGATGAAAATTTTTAGAGGCTTTGGGAGTTAAATAACTTGCCCATATTTCTCAGGCAAGATTCAAACTGAACTATTTGCAGCCCATGGATTTTACTTTGGGCTATAATTCAGAGCCATATATGGAGTTTTGTTTTGTTTCTGTTTTGTTTTCCACACAAACTTCTTGGCTCTATCCCTGCAGACTCTGATTCATTATGTCTAAATGGAAATCGTATTGTGCAAATAGAACTGAAAACCATGAAGGATACTATAGGCAAGCAGATACCAGCGGGGAACTCTTAGCAGTATCAGGAAGCCAGGCATGGTATGGAATAGAAGGGAAAATGATGAAGGCATCAATGTAGTATGGAAGACATACAAAGAAGACAATAAAACGGAAGCTGACCAGCCTGGGCAATATAGTGAGACCACATTTCTAGTTAGAAAAATTCCCAGCTACTTAGGAGGCTCAGGTGGAAAGATCCCCTTGAGCCCCGGAGATTCGAGGCTATGGTGAGTCATGATCAGTCTAAGAGAGTGAGACCCTGTCTCAAAAAATTTTTTTCAAAATAGAAATAATAAAATGGGAGCTAGCATCTCCTAAATTGCTAAATTTCCTCTAGAAAGTTGGAAGATGCTAGCTCCCATTTTATTTTATTTTTCTATTTTGAGAAAGAACTCTAGGCATGCCTCAGAGAAGGAACACACTTACCAGAGAGATTAATCTAAGAGTTCACTGACAGTTGGACTTATTAACACTCTCAAATTCTTTTTTATATATCTTCAGTTTTATCTTGTTAGCACCAAAGTATTAACCTATGATAACCTGACTTAATTTAAAAGAATCTTGATTTTGGTTTCTCCTAATATATGAAAATATATAATACAATAAAGTCTATTCTTAACCTCAAGGAAAATCAGGGCATCCTGGCTTGGATTGGACAATTAAGAATTTATTTTAGTTATTGTTCTACATTCATCTCCAAAAAATTATAAAAAGAAATAAAACTATAATGTACACAATTCTCATGAAGGACACACACAACACACAGGATTAGTTTACTTTCAGGGGAGCTTCTCCTGTACATTGAACCCTTCGCTCAGAAACATAGGTCTTATCTTCATCTGTATCTCCCTTAAAGAGCACAGCTGCAATTTAACTCAGCACTTTAGATGCAGTCTGAGCTGTAAGGAGCAGAGCACAACTTTTTGCAATTAGAATATTTTTCTTCTATTCATGCAAGAGAGTGATGAACCTGAGTGTTGTCAGGGACCCTCGAAGAATCTTGCCTTACAGGCCAGCAGGCACCTTTTAGTTCTTTGTCACTGACCAACGCTTTCTTTTCCTGGAAAGCATGTGGATTTAACATCATTAAGAGAATATGATGCACAAGGCTTGGCTTGGGCTATTCCATTTCCAAAAGATAAATGTTAAAGAAGAGAGAGTAACAGCATGAGGTATTCTATAAAGTCTTGATATATAACTCTATGTCATGAAAAATTATATATGCTCCCCCAAACCTGAAGTATAAAAGGAGACAAGCACTCAAACAGGCAAAGAAGAGAAATGAGCCCTATAAACCAATACCCTAAGGCACAAGGGAGGTTGGCTTATTCCAAAGAACTGAAATCCCAGTGGCTGGAACATAGTGAGCCTAAGAGAGGGACTCAAAATAAAGCAGGGGAAAGGTGGGTAGGGGCAGGCCAGAGCAGACCAGCTATAATGAGTGTAGGGCAGAAGAAAAGGTGCTTTTATTTTTTTATTTTTCAATTATTTTTCAATTACAGTGGGTGGGAGTCCATGGAAAGATTTTAATCGGTAGAATAAGATCTTGATTACATTCAATCATCTACCACTTGGACTGCTATGAGAGACAGAATGAAAACATTGTGACCAGTTCTGACGCTACTGCAAATGTCCAATGAAGAGATGATGCTCCCTTGAACTAGGGTAGTGATAGTTTAAAGTGATGAGAAACTGATACATTTTTAGATTTCTTTTGAAGGTTGAATTGACAGGATTGGTAAAAGTTTGGATGAGAATGTTTAGAGACAGTAATCAATACTAACTTCTCAACATATGGACTGAATAACTGGATAAATTATAGTGCCATTTAGAAGAAGTGGAAAATAAGGGTAATACAGTTTTAAAGGAAGCTGAAGAACTTAGTTTTGACTGATTAAATGTGAAGTGCCATATGCCATCCAAACTGAGATGCAAATTTTGCAGTTGGAGAAGCCCCAAAAGCCTGTTTGGGTTAGAGATATAAATGTGCCAGTTATTAACATGTTAATATATGAGAATTGATAATAGCATTTGGGGGTTGATATAACAAAGAAACAGCATCTCAGAAATGAGCTCTTAGAAACTCAATAAGCAGGGCACAGTGGCGCACGCTTGCAATCCCAGCCCTTTGGGAGGCCGACGAGGGTGGATCACTTGAGCCCAGGAGTTCAAGACCAGCCTGAGCAACATGGCAAGACCCTATCTCTACGAAAAAAAAAAAAAAAAACCCTAGCTGGGTGTGGTTGTACACACCTGTGGTCCCAGCTACTTGGGAGGCTGAGGTGGGAGGATCATTTCAGCCTGGGGGATCAAGGCTACAGTGAACCATGATCACACCACTGCATTCCAGCCCAAGTGCTAGAAAGCCTGTCAAGAAAAAGGAGGAGGAGGAAGGGAAGGGAAGGGCTCATGGCTGGGGAAGCCTCAGGAAATTTACAATCCTGGCAGAAGGGGAAGCAGGCACCTTCTCCACAAGGCAGCAGGAGAGAAAGCATGTGAAGGCAGAACTGTCAAACACTTATAAAACCATTAGATCTCATGAGAACTCACTCACTATCATGAGAACTGCATGGAGAAAACTGCTCCCATAACCCAGCCATCTCTCACCAGGTCCTTCCCTCAACACATGTGGATTGTGGGGATTACAATTCAAGATGAGATTTGAACAGGGACACAGAGCTAAACCATATTACTCAATCATTCAGTTGGGTTCTAGTGTTAAAATATTTAATAAGTGTTTGGAAAAATATACATAATTGAGGGTAGATAGAGAAAAAGTGTCTGAGGGCATTTGGGAGCAGATAGATCATCTGTGTGGAGGTTGAAATGACTGCTTGGATCCTAGAGAATGACAGGACTTGGAGAATAAAGAGCAACTTGGCATCCATCCACACACGCACAATGGATGTGGTGGTGCCACAGAAGTATGGCAATAAATAGCAACTAGAATGCAGGGAACATGGTATGGCCAGGAATGATGAACCTTCTAAGGATGCTGCACAGGCAGTGTCAGGGAACCATGGATTGAGCTACATCCTAGGGAATTAGGAGTGTTCTAAATGACAGAGCATTTTAAGCACTGCATAGGACACCAGCAAAATCTTCCATAAAACGGCTGACTCATAAGCTGAGTCTTGAAGAACAAGTAGGTGTTATGATTCTGGGAAATCAGGGGAAGGAAAAATAGGTCAACTTATAAAATGCTTTGTGTAGGATGAAAAGCAGTTGAAACTTTGTCCTGAGGTTTCAGGACAAAGCAAGCAATGGATGGTTTCAAGCAAAAGAGCAACTTCATCAGGCAGTGTATATTAAAAGCATCACTTTGGCAGCTGTGAAAAAGGTTCTTCAAAGGCCACTGGGACTTAAGAGAGGGAAACAAGT